TGCTGCTGTCGGTGGACGTGCGGCGGCAGCTCCAGCCAGCAGCAGCAACAATACGGCAGATCCCTTTGCTGCTGAAGGAGGTCCGCAGCAGCAGCAGCAGCAAGTGCAGCAGCAGGGCGGGGCCAGCGGGGACACGGGCAGCAAAGATGTGCAGCAGCAAGAAGCACACGCAGCAGCAAACGGAGCCACACGTGAGCAGCAGCAGCAGCAGCAGCAGCAGCAGCGCCATCCGCAGCACGAGCACCAGAAGAAGATGAAATCACAGCCAGTTGCTGTTGCTGGGCGATGGCTTTTAGTGCGGAACCTCCTCAGAGGTCAGAGCTGCTGCTGCTGCTGCTGCTGCTGCTGCTGCTGCTGTCATGTTTGGCTCCGTTGCTGCAGCTGCTGCTGCTGTTGCTTTGCTTGCTGCTGCTGTCATTGCTACTTCTGCTGCTGTTAGTGCTGCTGCTGCCTCTTTGACGGGCACGATATACCTTTGCTGCCGCAGGCTGCGGCGCTAGCGGCAGCAGCAGCAGCTGCTGCTGCTGCTGCAGCAGCAACAGGAAGCATTCTGCTGCTGGGGTTGCTGTTGCGTTTAGGTGTTATGTCTTATGTCCCTGTCATCTTTGAGTCCAACGCCAGCAGTCTCTTAGAGGTGAGCACATTGCTGCTGCTGTTGCTGCTGCTGCCGCTGATTACTGCTGCTGCTTCTGCTGAGGCAGTTGCCTCAGTTCTGCTTCCAATGCCGTTGCCTCCTTTGCTGCTACCGGTGCTGCTGCTGCTCTTTGTCCTGCCGTGACTGTTGCCACCGTGGCTGCTGCTGCTGCTGCTGCTGGCGCTGCTTCTGGAGTAGTTGCTGCAGCTGCTCTTGTTCACGCAGCAGCAGCAGCAGCAGCAACAGGCTTGTGATATCTGCTCGCCTCTTGCTGCATCTCCAGCTGCCTCTTTGCCTATCAAAGCCAGCGGAAGGCGCCAAAAGCCTTTCAGCAGCTGCAGCCGCAGCAGCAAACATCTCCATGCTGCTGCTGCTGCTGCTGCTGCTGCTGGCTGCTCTCTTGGG